GACTGTTTGTGAATTGGGACATTTCAACTTACTTTTTTAATTCCCATTTAAATTTAGTAGGAGTCGGAGTCGGTTAACTTTTTGCCGACTCCGACTCCAGGTACCCAAACTTGTCTCCGACTCCTCGACTCCGACTCCACAGCCCTGGTTTATTGAGCTGCTCTTGTGGCATGAGTTAAGTGCTTAGCTGCTCAGTGGGCAGAGTGGCCAAACTCTTGTGAAATCTCCCAGTGCTTGAAGTACCACCTTTTCATTAATTTTTGAATTATTATTTTAGCCTAGAGAAATTGTAGATATTTGGTTGTCTGGCTTGTGTTCATTAAACTTTTTGTCATGGTTTTGCTTAGATTGCCAACTTCTGACTGAAAACCCGCCAAAACGTCAGATTGGTGACAGACTTGGAAAGAGGAAGGTCTCCCCCGGAGATCAGCTTGTCAGTGCTAGCATAGGTTTGTAGGATTAATATTATAATGTGTGATATGTGTTCAGGTACCAAGTTACTAATATGGAACAGATTAATGAAAAAGGCACGTAAGACCCCAGAAAGCACAAGATAAGTTTAAAAGTTTCCCAGTCACAGGTGTAACTGTGTAAATGTCATTATTACCATAGTACCATAATATCCATTTTGGAGGTGGTTTTCACCATGTCTGGGGCAAAAAGTAGTAGTTGATCAAAAGGCAATATTTTATTATTAGGTCATAATTTTAAAACTACTTTGGACGATGTTCATGCAAAACATTGAATAGGCAAGTCTTTTTTTTGAAGTGGGAGTAGAGGTGGTCACTCATTGGCTTCAAAAGCCTAACAGCAGTGGTGTATGGTGGGATTCGTGATTTGAATCACTTTGGTTTTCAGGTCCTCCTGAAGTGTTTTTGCACAGTGTTTTCTTAAATAATAAAAATATCCAAATATTAGGGCTGCCACTAACAACAATTTTTCTATCAGTTTATCTGTTGACTATTTCACCGATTGGTTGACTAATCTGATTTTTCCTCCAGAAAATCAAATTGACAGTTTCTTTTAAGTAAATTTTATTTTGACAACAGCAAACTGTCACAGGAGGGGTTTAGATAATAGACTTTGGCTATTTGGCACTACAAAGACATGACTTACACCCAAAATTAGATAAACAGATGAGCAGTACAGTGGTACCTTGGTTCTCGAACTCACTAGAACTCGAATTTCTTGAAAGTCAAACAAACCAGTTTGACCTAGAACTCGATCTGAACATCAGAAGTTGAACCGTGAACGCTGACCTAATATAAATTGTATGCACCGGGAAATGAGTCATACTACAATACAATTCTTACTTGAATGCCTTCTTCACAGACTGGACGATTAACCAAATAAAGCAGCGCAACATTACAGTAACTAACAATAAATAAACCACTAACTTACGTGTACTA